TAGGGATGCCCCCGATCCGTCCAATTCGAAGCCCTGTCCTCAAAGAGACCGTCATATTCGCATTAATCTTGACTTCTCCTGATCGTGGCGTTTATCGCGTTCGCTTGTCTTCGAACGAACGAACGCAGGCGGCAAGACCGACTTCTCTGGCCCCGAGGTCTCGAACGAGGGCGACGAGGAGATACTGGTTCGCGAGACGCCCTTCGACCGCCCGGACGATGTTATCGTCGAGGCTAGCGATCTGGATGATTTCCTAAACAACATGTCGCCCTGGATGTCGTCTGCGCTAAACCCGGCAGAATCTGTATCCTCCCAAGTATGCCTGACAAGTTTTGGGGTGGGTTTCGAAGGGGGGAGACTTCAACCTCGAAGTTGCTGCTGGTATTTCTTTGCGCGGAGTTAATGTGTTGGCTCTGACACAGCTTCGCTGCTCGGTTGTCTCATGTCCCCCACTGGGTTGATGCAGTTAAGACATCCACGCCCTGTCGCGCGGGATGGTGTCATCCTGGACACCCGACCTCACCTCTGGGCTTTTTTTGTATCTGTATTTAGGATGCGTCGGAGCTGCATTGAGCTGTATACACCGGCTGCGTATCACGTCGCGCAACGGGGACCTGCGCGACGTTCGCGGTGACGGTGTATGATGCATGTTGCTCAGGATGTCGGTTGTTGCGTAGTCGCCTTGCGGGTCAACAAGGCAGAGATTTCTTTTCTTTTCTTTTTTCTGTGTGATCTACTCCTGCTTTTTGGTGAAGTAGGCGGTTGGTGGCGGGGTCTTTTTTCGCGTCTGTCCGACGGCGGGAGCCTGCGCCGGCTTTGGGGGGGGGGGCTTGTTCTTGATACCTAGGTGAATCTCTGGGGCGGCTAAAAGTCTGCAATAGTCTTGTTGGATGTCATCAGTTTGTACCTTCTTGATCATGATGATGTGAGCATACCTTTGGTCGAGCAAAATATGCTGTTGGGGTGGCGCTTGGCGCGTTCCACATACTACAGTGTTTGCGGTGTCTTTGTCTTGTACTTCGTATGTTTTTGCTTCTCTTCAATGGCGGTCGTTGAATGCCCGGTCAAATGTCCACGTCGCTTCTTATACATGGCGTCACGTCCCGGAGTGTCAAATTTTGCTTTTTGCTTTTCCTGTGTCTTTGAAGCATGTATCGCGTAGGTCGGAGAGAGTAGTGACGTGCGCGTGTCATACATATACGAAACGGAGGGCATTGTATCACTAGATAATGTTCGAGTTTTGTGTACGACGGGTCGAGATGCGTTGAATGAGGGAGAATCTTCGGACAGATGGATCGGTGTGTCATGGATTTGATATTATGGCGCCGGCGGTTCCTGTCGGTCGATACTCCGGCGTGTGCTTTGTCATTCTTCGTGTTTCCTGTGTGCGCATAAGCATGCATGTAGCCGGTGCTGCGGGAGTTACTGCTGTAACCGTAGAAAACAGAGAAAATGAACCCGTTTCGCAAAGCCACCCCCCCAAGGTGCACAGCCGGACTCACCGTGCCATGGTTGGTAGGCCTTGCCCTGACAAGGTTCCAGGACACCCCGGCCCTGTCAAGGTGGCAACCTAAGCGACACCTTGTCAAGGTCGTAGCCCTGGGACACCTTAGAATGTGGCACCCTGTATAGCTGCAAAATCTGGTACCCTGCACGAGGTCCTCCCCCGTAACCCTGGAGAGGTAGCCGAATGGAAACGGGTGTGGCCTTGAGGCTGCCATGAAAATCGCTCGTGCGCCATTTGCGTGTTGTTCGTGTGGCGAAGCAGTGTGACCGTGCAGACCCAAGAGTGTGGGATATGGATCATCATTTTTCGGTTCTTTGGATAGACTATACTTGCTCGGCTGCGCGGTGAGGGCTCTGTGTACACTATGCATCGATGCCCTAAAGTTGTCTAACGGCATGCCACCTCTGCATGTAAGTGTATGTTTTTTTTTCGCCGCCCGGAAATGAGGGCAGGGGCCCACCCGCCAGCCCTCAAAAAGCCTCCGGAACCTCTCTTTACAGGCCCACAAATTTGAAAGACCCCCGCCCGCGCAGCCGCGCAGCAGACAATTGCACGCACGGGCGTGGGCACGCACACAGCATGCCGATAACACAGAAAAGGACTTCCCACAGAGTATGTGAAAGGATGTGCTGTTCAAGAGCAAGGGGATAGTGGCGTTGGGAGCCCGTGGCGTGCGTGCGAGGGCTGCTACAACCTGTGTGTGTTGCTCTAAGCGTGCAGTTGGTTCGGCACTGACGTTATGAAAGCAAAGAAGGCCTCGCCTGCTCCGTGGTTATGTGGCCATGGTGCAGCACGCTGTGTCTATTTGGGCGGAAGATTTCATTATCAAAAAAGCTCCAACACGTGCTATACACGCTGATTCGGTCGGGGGTCCGGCATGCACGCCACCCTAATTTTATTTTTTGAAGTCTGTTTCCGCCCTATAGACCACTTGCAACAGAACCCCCCGCACCAAAAAAAAAGCTCTGTGCGGAGGGGGGGTGGTGGTACAAAACAAATAAATTTAATTAATCCGCATTTTTTTTCACAAGACACACTCTACAACAGCAGCACCCGCGCCACGAGCAAGGGCACATAACCTCCACCTCCCATAGCAGTGGACACACCCCCGCACGCCGACACAACAGGAGACGCAGGGTGTACCCAGAAGCCGGAAAAGTCTTGAGATGTACAGCAGCACCCAGAGAAAATGCATTTGCAACTCACGGGTGTGCCGAGAGGTCGGTGGGGAGGGAGAAATGCGGGTGCCCATGGGTAAAAGAGCGGCCTACCAGAACGCACTCGGCCTGGCTGATGAAATCACCCTGCAAGACCCAAGAGTGTGGCTTGGTCATTTCCCAGCTGACGACGTGGAGGCTAGCAAGCAAGGTTCGGGGCCTTGTGGCACAAACGTCGTGGTGAAGCTAGTAGAAGGGGCCCTTCCGAGCCAAACGGACGAACAGATGTCTGCCGGTACCAAGGGGCAGCTGTTGTCGGCACTGCGGAGAAGCAACGCCATCAAGGAGCGCCGACAATCCCTGCTAGACGCAAGCATGACGGACGTAGAGAAAGATGTTAGGATACAAGAACTACAGGACCGAGTCAACATGCTGGAGAAGACAATCCGTGAGCTCACGGTTGACGGGAAACAGCAGAGGGCGAACCGAGAGGAGGATGAGGAGGCACCGGGTGCACGCAGCAGCAGGATTGACGATTCCATTCTCGAGGGGAAGAGAGACGAGGCAGCTAGGAGCTTGTGTGGACTCAGGAGCGCGGAATCCCTGAAGGTATGCCTGGCGCACACCGTCGTGTTGTAATCTGAGGGCTTACCGTGTGCAGAGATGGTTCGATAAGAATGTGAAGTCCTGAAAACTACTGCTGTTGTTTGGTGCACCAGATCCATCCGCGACTAAAAAACTCAACTCAACTCCCGGGTGCGACTGCTGTTGTTGTAAGCATTTCCGTCGTTGACTTGTAAATTTTATTCTGTACCACCGCAGTGGCCAAGTAACCGGTATGAGGTGGTGTAAACGAACGACACATTTAGCCTCGACCCGAGGTCGATCGTGTCACCATCAGGAATTACAGCAGGTCCCGACTCTTTTGTGTGTGTTGCTGCCGTCTGTCGATGCTACGCAGAACCTGTACAACTTCCTCAACATCGGCGGCGTGGCAGAAAACATGAACTTTTACAACGCGAACCCGGTACAGGCAGAGGGTGTGAAAGAAGACGGGCGGAGGGTATTGAGGCGCCCGAAGAAGTTGGGGGGGACCAACGGCCTGTTTTTCGTTCTGTTCGTGCTGCGTACAGGTACCTCCATTCGCGTTGCGTCCACGCTGTTCGGTGTCAGTGACTCGACCGGTGGTAGGGCGTTCACGGGTTGGCTCGACTTATTGGCGAACAGCTTGAGGCCCCTCGTGCGATTGCCAGATGTAGGAAGCGTGGTGTCGAGTGCCCCACCCAATTTCGAAAGGGAAGGTCTTTCCTCTGTGGCCGTTGTTCTCGACGGGACAGAGATTTGGTGCGAAAAAGTGTGGCAGTCGGATGCGCAACATGCATTGTGGTCGCAGTACAAGAAGAGATACACAGCGAAGATACTCATCGGCATCATCCCCGCGGGTGCCATCTGCTACGTGTCCGATGCGTATGTTGGACGAACGAGTGACGTCGAGTTGGTTAGACAGTGTGGGATTGTGGAGGAGTTGACTGAGCTGGGTTTTGGGGGCAAGGGCATGCACGTAATGGCTGATAGAGGATTTAACGCGATGGCACCACTCCTGATCGACATTGGAATGCACTACGTTGCGCCGCCGAGCAAGCGAAAGGGTGAACATCAGTTCAACGAGGAGGATGCCAGCGTCACTCGGGAGGTAGCCAACCTCCGTATTCACGTAGAACGAGCGATAGGAGCCATGAAACAGTGGCGTATTCTTGAGACGAAGTTCGATTCCCAGCAGATGGACAACATAGGAGAGATAGCTCTGGTTTGCGCTGCCATGGTTAACCTCACTCGCAAGCCCTTTGCGTCTGCGAAATGACCACGAGAAGTGATATTATATATATTTTTTATCCTGGGAGGTCGTTGTGGTTTTTGTCTGCGCGCGAGCGCTCCCCATCATATCAGCTGTTTAGGTGAAAGGGGGCAGTCATGCGGACGAGCTCAACGTTCTTTAACCATTTGTACCTGTCCTTGAATTTATTGGGCAAACAACAAGCCGTGCACCAACCCTGTCCGCTGTTTTTCTTCTTTTGGGTTAGGTCTGATGGCCCTGTCGCGGACTCTCATTTGGGGCGGTGCCAAGGTCGACTATTGATGATTTTCTTCTTCCGCAAATGTGGTCTCTGATGCAATTGGTGTGGGGGGCATCGTGCTGCACAGAAAGGGCGCGACCCACGCTGCAAGTAGCGGTGTACTTCGACGTATATTTGTTCGCAAGCACCTGCTTAAAATGAGCGAGACTCGCTTGGAAGGGTACCATGTATCTTGGGTATTTTTTTCAAAATCAGACTCACTCGACGCGACACGGGTAAAAAATAAAAAACGTCGGTACCGTGCGTCTTCAAGTAGATTCACGCCTCAAGCGGGGTCTCAGTACGTCGACTGCTAAGCTAGTACTCCCTCCTGCTCCCGGGACCCTTTCCCCGTCAATAAACCTGGACAGCATGTCCCACTGTGCGTGGCTCATACTTTCGCCACCATCAAAGTCCTCGCGGGCGCTCGCCCATTTGCCATGATCGGGGTGCGAGCTAAACTCAGTTCTGCGATCCATTGCCACTACTCCACGCGTGCTCGGCACGTCGTCACCACCCCCCCCGAACGGGACTCTCTTGGGATCTCTCAGCGTTCGTAACTCTCCCACAACTTCCCTGACCGTCGCCCCGTTGAAGATGTCGAATTCAGTATTTCGTCCCCCCCCCACAGTGTCTGAGGATCCACTGGCAAGAGTCACTCGTAGGCGAATCCGGTTCCCACGTCTCTAGCTCGTGCTCTGTCAGCTGCAAAAGGCGCACTAGTTGCAGGAGCTGGCAAACGTGGTGGCAACCCCCCCCCGCTCCCGACTGGCACTGGCACCATGCCGCTTCAACACAAGTGGCGACCAGTCTCCGTCGAATGTCATCGTCGCTCCTTCCGTCACTAGAGTTGCTGTCACCCTCGTCGACGTCGGGGTGTTGGGCAACAACTTCCACCCTCTCCACACGCACATCAGCTTGGACGAGATGTTCCTTGTCTCTCATGGATCCGCGCGAGCTGAAATCACACACGGGCATGATGCGAACAGTTGGAAAAACGGGCGGTACCCGCAACATTGTACTGTCGATATTTGGAAGTGATGGTTGCATGAATACACCTAACTTTGGAACCTAAAAGGCAAACATCGTGTGCATTTGCCACATCCCTTGCCACTACAAGGACCTGCTTTGTTTTTTCGGTCTAAGTAACGCGAACAGATCGGCTCACGAGCACGCCGCGCTTGTGGATTACTGAAACGGCATCGCGGCGCATGGGAATGACTTCATAGGGCGGGATTTTATTCGCGGACGAAATGTAGGTCTGGGAAAACACCGCGGAAACAACTTGACACGTTCTTTCGAGTCTGGCAACACAAACAATAAACAAAGAGAACGAAAATACAAGTTGCCCTGCTAGTTCTTATTGTTGTCTTCACACTAAAACGGTAGTAGAAAAGAAAAGTTCGACGAAGAAAACAAAACAAAATAATTACACTCACTTTAAGCGCAGGTGCAACGTCCCGCCGTTTTCGCCGCATGGGATCCCGGACAACCAACCCAGAGCCCCGAGATCCAACACACGTTCCATCCCTCGGTACAGCACGCGCCCCGTATCTCCGATGAGCGAACCGCGGGCCCGCAGCCACGCAATAATGATCGTGTCTCCGGCGAGCTCAGGGAGTTGCGCGCGAAGAGGTTCCCAATCCAGCCATCCATCGGAGGGCTGGCCAAGGCCGCCAGCAGCGGCGTCCTGCTGCGGCATGCGAAACACGAGCGAGCTTCCCACCAACCCGCTCTGCTCGACAACCTGTACGACCCCTTTCGCTACGCTGAGGAGTTTAGGCTTCAGGAACGAAGTAGTTCCAGCCTGCTCCAAACACCTGAACGGCTGCTCGGAAGATGTCAGAGAGACGGGCGGGCAAACGAGACAGCGCCGAACGAGCGAGATATGCGCTCCATTATATGGTGGTACTTGTGGGCAGGATCTACTCACTTCCGGACAACTGGGACTTTGCACAGCCGCAGGCAAGAAGTAGGGATGTCCAACGAATTCCGAACGCAAACCTACGCACCAAAAAACGCGGTCATCGACGTTCTGAAATAACGTTATCGATGCGCTGAAGTGCTCTCACCCCCAAGAATTCACGCAGCTGGGCTACGGTCATGCTGCCAAGTTGGGCATCTGTAGGCAGCCGCGAAAAACCCGTGCGCCCGAAGTTGTTCGTTTCTCCGGATGTCAGTGTCCGCCGTCCTCGTTTAGGGGGGGCTCGCGGGGCGTGCGACGGCAGGGAGTCCAGCTGTTCTGGGAAGTCAGACTCCCACGGACGCAATGTGCACGGGCAGATTTTCCCACAGGCTACTTTCACGGCGACTTCAGGGTTGGCGATGATCCCTGCGTATCGACACGATACAGGAGGGGAGAGAGTAAACAAGATGCACACTTTACAAGATCGGTAGACAGCAGTGGATGCCTGAGCGGAGTTGCTGTCGTCCTGTTTCCAATACCTATGGGTGTGCCATCAAATGGCACGAACGATACGAGAGGAAGAGGTCTTGTATGCACCAATACACAATACACATGGGTGTTTTGGATACAATAAACTATCCCAATGCATTCAAAGGTGTTGATTGTTGTGAGTCTTAACGCTGGTCCAAAGTAGGCGGGCGCCTTCCGATGTCATAAACCAACGACCGCAACCCGAGGGGGCACACGTACGCTGCTTGAAATCAACTACTTGTGACAAAATAATCGATCAACCCAGGAGAGAGAGGTAGACGTCGCATACAGGAGGAGGTAACGGAAGCGAGAATTGAATGATTTTGGACCAACCCACACCATGGTAGGTTACGTACATTTGCACATCCATACCAGTACTGCAGACAGTAGAGATATCATCTACAGTAGAGATACATTTACAGCGCGTCGTTGCACGACTACGAGGTCGCTATCTACCCGGACGGTGACATACCTGTGTTGGAAGTCACGCGACTTGTCGGAGCGCAACCGGACAGGTGTCGTTGAACTCCGACCTCAGGACAGAACACGACAGGGTGAAGCGTCATGTCTCGAGAGCGGTCTAGCGACGCCGTCACCTCAGCTTCGGTCCAGGTCGTTGACCCAACCAGATCTTCCGTCACATCCGCAAGCGTGGGGAACTGCCCACACTTCTTTCGCAGGCAGAAATCCGTGGCTTTTGCCTTTCCAATCCCGGGAAACTTGCTGTAGTCGTTGCCTGAGACAGATGCCCACAGCTGCAGGCGGGCCATCACCTCAACTCGACCACCACACTGCATCTCCCGACCCGCCTTGGTCGACACCGTGCAACAACCTTAGGGACTCATGCCCATGCGTCGTGCCAGCACGGAGGGCATGCATCTGCGGGCGCGTGATACCCTCATGCGTAAAGATGTTACCGAACAGTCGCCCTTCTTCCGACACGACCTCCCAGAGCAGGGAACGAACGCCGATGACCATGAGGTCGCTGTCATTTCCACGTACCAGGACACGTTTCCCCATGCATGTATACATCTCCTCCAAGACACGCAGCTGCGGGTCGGCCTCATAGGGCGCGGTTATGCACTCGCATCGTAACGAACGAGAGACAAAACGTGAGACCCTGGCGACGATGTGACTCGTAAACGCTACCGCGTTCACAGCTGCTTTCTGAAGACCTGGATGCTGAAGCGGCACGTTGGACTCCCGTAGACGCAAGCACTGCTGCCGTGTCCGCTCTCTCTCGCTAGACCTCGATCGCGTGGTTGCCCCTTTCCCGGGTGGAGGAGCCCCGTCGAAAACCACGGTGATCCCCCACCCTGCCGAAGCAAGCTTGTTCAGGCTTGTGGCCATCGACATCGCGAGGGGGACGACGTTGTCGTCCAGCACAAGAGGAACTGCCACACCCCCGATACCAGCAGCTTTGTGCAACGCAAAATGACCGTCGACGACCAGGTGCTTCTGTCTCGTGCCATCTTCGTCGTCGAGAGGTACCCGCTTAGAAGCTACCTCCTTCAGGTATGGCGACAACCCGTTCACTCCCATGGCACTCCGTTGGAGGTAAGGATGTGCTATCACGCAGCCCAGCGGTGCTCCTGCTGCGTGGCTGCGTGGAGGTAGGTGTCAGTCCTTTTTTTTTAATCGTTCGGTGTTGTTGCCGTTTGGCAGTCTGTTGGTTCTTTTTGGAACGACCATACATCGCCCTTGCGGGATGTGACTGCAGCGTAATCTTACGATTGGACGCGTGGCCAATGGGCAAGATGTCTTTGGAACTTCGCCAGACATCCACGCAGGCTAACCCGCATGGGTTGTATCCCAGATCCTCGCCTCCCTGGGTGGGCAGTAGAGAGTTGACTCGCAGTTGACTCGTGCACGGGGTGTATGACGTACCGGTCTATTCGCTTGTGCAGCTAGAACCAACGCGCGCGTTTCGTTCGCGTGTCAGCTTCCCCCCCCCCTCGTGGTTTTGTGGCAAGGTGGTAGGCACGAAAAACAGATGTATGCAAGTGCTTGGCGTCCCAAGGGTTTATGCTGGATACACAGCTGAATGAAGCCAACGAAATGAGGTGTCATTGTCTTTCATCACCTTGGTTACAACGGACATTTCACGAATACGAGCAAGGAACCAACACACCAACACAAGACAAGAGCAACGTGTTGACTTCGTGTGTGCCCCCGAGGTCTGGATTTCAAAGCCTACAGGAAACTACCTACTTTTTCGCGCTTTCCATGGCGTCCATCCGGGCGCTAGAAACATGGGAACGCATACGATCCCGATTTTCTTATTATTTTTGGGGCGTGTCGTGGTTCTTGCGGGCTATTCGTCCATTATTGAGCTATTTGTAAGACCGAGCGACCTCAAACTGTACAAAAAAAAAAAAAAAAATGTACAAAAAAACGGGAGCTCCTTGCGCGGATAGGGAAAAAAAAAATAACCGCGTCAACGCTAATCCCAAAGCGCTAATATTTTTCTACGTTCATGTTCCCGCATGGGAAAATACAGCAACATGCCACCACACTGCGAACGGAAATACCCCACAACTAGATAGAATCGTGCTGGACGTTTCGAAGAAAACACACACTACCAAGATGCGATATGTGACGCGAACGTCACTGCTGTTCCGACAAAAAGCCTAGAAGAGGTTGTGCATCATCCAGCTGGAGTTTTGGGGTATGAAACTCGCCGCTGATGCCGTGGGTGGTAGGCGGGGTGCTGCATGAAAGCCGGGGGGCACGCCGTAGTATGCGTGGGCAGGCGCTTGCATGGGTTGAGCGGCAGCCGGTGGGACGGCCTGGTGAGCGGCAGCCGGTGGGACGGCCTGCTGGTTCATGTCGGTCGCTGCCAGTGTCTGCTTCCTGTGTATTGTGTGGGCAATCACGCGTCAATCGACCGCAAAGGAAAGGGAACAACATGTGTTACAGGGGGGTAACCATCCGTTCTCTTGCGAACGGAATATTGTCCACCCAAGACTCGCAGAACATCGACACCGGAATCTCAACCAAACAAAACCATCTTCTACGCACTTCGGGCGGCCCCGCTTCTGTTCCTTGGGAGGAGAGGGCGTCTCGGCGTCGCTCGAGGAAGACGACGGGTTGGTGGAAGACGGTGACGGTGATGGGACCTTTCTGTGCTTCTTGCTCCTCGACGACTTCGACGGCGCCTTCTTGGAGCGGCTGTGTATGATTCCCGGTCGGGACGAAAAAACAAAGTTAACGGGGGTCTTCTTGCCCGCCGTACCCGTCGCGGCACCTGCAGCCAGAACAGAAACGGGCGGTGACTGCAGTAACCGGCACTTCACTCAAACCGAGGACATGAACCAAACATGTACACATCTTGTGCTCGACGGAGCTTCTCTGACCGACCCCGCTGTCCGAGGTAGCTAACTGGTTCGGAGACAACTTACCGGATGGGTGTCGGGTCCGGGGGCGTCGCAGCCGGTTGTGAGCCGGAAACAGTCCGAACGATGTACTGGGCCATGGCCATCAGTCGAGGTTCGATNGCTTCTCTGACCGACCCCGCTGTCCGAGGTAGCTAACTGGTTCGGAGACAACTTACCGGATGGGTGGCGGGTCCGGGGGCGGCGCAGCCGGTTTTGAGCCGGAAACAGTCCGAACGATGTACTGGGCCATGGCCATCAGTCGAGGTTCGATCAA